ATTTTCGAGTCAAAGGACACTGGACTTTTCAGCAGTGGGGAACAGTATTAGAAGATTGCTTTTTTTTTTTTTTTGGTCAATAAATGCAAAATACAAAGTAATTTTTTTTTCTTCTGATCTGTAGTTACTTGTCAGCAAAATGAATTGTTATGTGTGAGGGGCAAACACAATTGAACTACCGTGATCTTAGCAGCACCGCAGTGTGTTTGTGTTGTTTTAGTCATCACAAAGGCAAAGTTCAGGCTGTGAACTGAATTTTTTATTTTGTATGTAGGGCTTGATGGTCTTTGCTCTTGTATATGAAGCACTATCCCATCCTACACTTGGCCGTTGCCAGTAGTACTCTCCAGAAACCCCAAAGTGTGCAGAGACAGTGGAGTCACTAGAGAATACTTTGTTTTCCCTTGTTAAAGTGGCTATTCCTGCTATCTCAGTAAATTTAAAAAAAGAGTTGAGTTGCCTTTTGACTACAATACAAATGAAAGTTTTAAGGTAGATAAATAGCTTTCCCTTAGCTGAAACTATAATATTGTCCAGTGCCTCTAAAACATCCCTAAATATAAATGACTATAAATGTCATCCACGCACTGAAGTCACATTGTGCTGGAGCTCCCATCTCCTCTAAAACCTCACCTAGATCTTGACGAGATGGCTTGGGATTTTGGCACCCCACGTGTGTGAAGCAGATGAAGGGAAGGAAGTCATATATCTGAATGATATGACTATTTAAGCAAATTTTGTGGAAGAAAGCTTAAAACTTCATCTTTACTTCATGAAAATGCACCTGACTGGAGTATGTGCTCAGTGTAGCTGCTCTTTTTGTAGCTTATGAGTTGCATGTGATCCTTCTGTGTGATACCCCAAGAAAATATTAATATATTACAACAGATACCAGAGTGGTTGAGCTTGTGCCCTTTACGTTTTGGTGGGCCTGCTGCCTTTCCTGCTGTGACCTTGAAGGGACTGGGTTGTTAGGACAATGTATTCACTTAAAGATAGATTTGCGGGTCCTTTTGGGGGACAGGAACTGGCTGGAGGTGATGGAGGCAGCTTTTAAGGGCAGCATACCAAGTCCAAGAGATCAAAATTTCCACTGTGTCTGTGCATGGCCAGGTGCTTAGGCTGGCACCCCGCATATACAAGGATGCCCCACAGATACTGGAGGGACAGCAGTATCCGTCCTCACAGCCAAGGGAGGCATTTCTAAAAGCAGGTATCCACCTCCTGGTAGGCAAAAGATTGAATTATTCGTCGGTACAAAGCCTGCAGCTGTGTGTCATGTTCATTTTAGCACTGAGTTGAAGCTTTCTTGACCTATGTTCAGTGTAATTAAAAACAAATCCCTCAACTCCAAGAATTGTTTGGAAAGGATTCTGTAATGCTGGGTCAGTGTATATAGACATGTTCTCATGCTTGCCCTAATTGTATGGATTTGGTCCTAGGAGCTGCTGGACTCCAGCACTTCCATTGATTTGTTACAGTCTACAAATCCCGGAGTTTCTTAACGCCACGAGGAGGAGAAATGATTTAAAGAAAATAATTGTGTGTATTTACTGTGAATGCATTATGCACAATTTTATTACATTTATATTAAAATAAGTTGAGATGCATTGTGCTTTATTTACAGTATTTTCAGGCTGTTTTCCTTTTGCCTAAATGAAACCCTTTTGATGCTCTTGCTTGTCTGGCTGGCTGTAAACCAGGTATTTAAACAAAAATAAAGAGTTGCCAGTTTTGCCAGCTGGGGATGAGAACCCGGCTGGTGATATGCGGGTTCGGGAGGCAGTTAATCCAGCTTTTATGCTTTTTTATGATTTTATGTAAAAAGAGGTTAAAAATCACATTTGGCTCTTTCTTTGTACCACTGTTTTGTTGCTGTTGTGGGAATGCAGCAAAAGGTTGCTCATACTTTTTATTATTATTAGGTAAAGTCCTGCATAAATTAGGTAAAGCCCCAGATACAGTTTGCTTTAGCTATTGGCCATGTGATTTGCCTTGTTCAGAGAATGATACGGTTTATCTTCCCGTTGCCTTCTTTTATAATTCACATATGCAAACCACACCTCAACTTACTTGTAAAAAGAATCTACCACTGCCTCACAATTCCATATATTTTCCTAGCTTCAAAAGAAAAGAGTAACTTGCTTTACAAATAGGAGAAATGGTAACAGTGCTAATAGATGTAGTAGAAAAATATACAATGCTTTTATTCTGTGGCAGAAGAAATGGTGATTTAAAGACAAGCATCACATATTTCATACATGGATTTTCAGCAAGTAGCTTGCAATATGCTCAAACTCATAAAACATTTAATTAATTTAAAAATGCAGGAGTTATTTTAGTTAGTTATGTCATATGTACTTATTCAGATAATTTGTTGTATTTTACACTTTCCAAAATTTCACCCTCTATTTGGAAATATCAATGATGTAACGAGTCTGTGTGTTTTGGCACAGCTGTAAATAGTATGTGTTAATGTGTTAATATTTATGATTTTTTAATCTTATATACACAAGAGGGATTTATAATACACTGCATCATGTTTCTCCTACTAATCCTTAAGGACAGTGAAAACTAGGGATATGAATGCGTTAATTACTGTGGGATTGTCAAAACTGCTGTGTTGGTTTTGGCTGGGACAGAGTTAATTTTCTTCATAGTAGCAAGTACAGGGCTATGTTGTGGATTTGTGCTGAAAACAGTGCTGATATAACACAGGGATGTTTTCGTTACTGCTGAGGGGTGCTTACACAGAGCCAAGGCCTTTGCTGCTTCTCACCCCACCCCACCAGCGAGTGGCTGGGGGTGCACAAGGAGTTGGGAGGGGACACAGCCGGGACAGCTGACCCCAACCGACCAAAGGGATATTCCATGTCAGATGAGGTCATGCTCAGGATATAACGCTGGGGGAAGAAGAAGGAAGGGGAGGGACGTTCCGAGTGATGGCGTTTGTCTTCCCAAGTCACTGCTACACGCGATGGAGCCCTGCTTTCCTGGAGATGGCTGAACCCCTGCCTGCCCCTGGGAAGTGGGGAATGAATTCCTTGTCTCGCTTTGCTTGCATGTGCGGCCTTTGCTTTACCTGTTAAACTGTCTTTACCTCAACCCACGAGTTTTCTCACTTTTTCCCTTCCAATTCCCTCCCCCATCCCACTGAGGGCAAGTGAGCGAGCGGCTGCGTGGGGCTGAGTTAACCCCTGACAATGGCCACACTGGATCAAAATGCATTTTGTTTCTGCTAATAGCGTGTAGCTGATATTTCAGAGCAGGCTTGGATTTACCAGGGGAGAAAAAGGAGAGGCAGATAAACGAGCTCGACACCCCTTGTTAGGACTGGCTAGGGTAGTGCGTGTGTCCTGTGATGTGGCCATGGCCACTTGGTGAGGAGTCTGTCAGCCTTTGCTTCAGAGGAAATTGTTGGAAGTCATCTTACACTTTTTAGACAATCACAAGATAATGTACTCATGAAAGAAGGTTGTTTCTGATCTGTTAAAGATTGCTTTATTCATTAAAGCCTGAAAACTTCACTAGACATCACCAGATTTTCACTACTATATATCTAAATGACTGTTCCTGTGTGTCTGCTTACAGTTTGAATCTGGGTGAGCTCTTGGTGGTGGTGATGGCATGTGTCTGTGTGTTGTAAAGCTTATTTTGTTCTCTGTGGATTAGTTTGTTGGTTTTTATTTTTAAATCAGTCATATATGCTGCCTTTCAGAATCTGCCTTTTAATGATACAGAAACAACTCTTTATAGAAAATTACTTGTTTATAAATATAGTCCAACTATACTGGTTGCCTTTCTTTGATCTTTCTAACTGTTTGTTATTTAAGCCTAATTTCTTGTTTTAAGGTTTTTCACATAATCACAGAATCACAGAATGGTAGGGGTTGGAAGGGACCTCTGGAGATCATCTAGTCTGACCCCCTTGCTAAAGCAGGATCACCTAGAGCAGGCCTCTCTAATAGATCTTTCTGCAGTAAATATTGGCAATTTGGCACAAACAGTTGTAGTGCCTTCTGTATGACCATTTATTAACTTCTAACTGTTCTGTCGTTTTGAGTGAAAGGGTTTGATCTTCTAGAAATTCACAGAAATTGGAATGATATATGTATATATTCAGTAGCCTTCAATTTCCTTATTGCTTATGGTTTCATTAGGGGTGTGTGCTGCTGTTATGTTGTCTCCATTTCTACAGTTTACTATGAGGGTTTGTTAAGGTCAAGACCCACTGCTTAGATTCCTTATTCCAATTTTCTCAGGCTGCTGGGAGAAGGGCTGTGGAGTAGGTTGCTTTTAGGCACACAACGTTGGAGGTATTATGTTAACAAATTATATAAATGTTACCATATTCCTGTGATCATATAGTATCATATAAACATAGCGTCATAGTAAACATAGTATCATGTAAATATTGTCATATTTTTTTGTATTAGCACAGTTGGGCTGTTTGGACTACTAATGAAACTGTCAGGAGAAAAGCATTGAGGACTCTTAATGTAAACGAAGATCATAAAGAATCTAAGCTTATCTTAGTAAGGTTAAGGTGTTTCTAAATTTGAGGCTTTATTCTTACAACTAGGGTAAGGAGGGAGGAAGTGCCTGAGCAGGGAGATGCTTCACTTCTCCCAGAGAGTGCTAACTGAGGCAGTAGTGCCTATAGATGAAGTGTCTCTTCCTAAACCTGTGTACGCTATAAATGGGATGGTAGAGGACGTAGGAAAGGGGAAGATGCAGTCGCGATCATTTTGAGCAGGTCATTCTCAATTTTATATTTTGCTTTTAGCTGTCCAATCCCCGTATGCCTGGAATTTCAGTGAGCTCAGGCATGTGGCTCAGTATTGCAGTTGCATGTATCGAGCCAGGTTCTGGGAGTCCTTGTAGCACGTCGTGAAAATGAAGTCTTGGAAACACATTCATATAGAGATGCATCAAACAGACCAAAATGATCGTGTCTGAAATAGCGCATGTCTTACAGATGGTTCTGGTTTCTGTCTTAGGTGTTGGAAGATAATGACTATGGTCGTGCAGTGGACTGGTGGGGATTAGGAGTTGTCATGTATGAAATGATGTGTGGAAGATTACCGTTCTACAACCAAGATCATGAGAAACTATTTGAACTGATACTAATGGAGGACATAAAATTTCCTCGAACTCTGTCTGCAGATGCAAAATCATTACTATCAGGCCTACTGATAAAGGATCCAAATAAGCGGTAAGTGAAATTACTTTGGTGTACAGGTGTAATAAATACTCTAATTATACTCGGAAATGTAAAAATAGGCCAGTGGTGCCTGTTCTTCCGGGCCGAAGGACCTGTCAGTCACAGGAGAGGGCCACATGCAGCCATACTGTCTCAGATTTCCACTTCTTCGATACAGCAATGATATACAAAGTGAGTTTAACAAGCAAAAGGGGAAAAAAGGATGTGGAAGAGAACACTTTTTTTAATCATTCACAGCAAACATAGCGATCTTTTCAGGTTTAGATTGTGTACTGGAACAAAGGGAAAGCTCTAAATCTTTTTTCAGGGTATGACTCAGGTAACCCTGAGTTGGCGGTAGTGTCTCATGGGGACTACACCACTGCTTCTTGGAAGTGATCATGCTAGAAGAAATGTGTAGACAGCCACAGATAAATTTAGTTAGGCCATGTAAATTGATCACATATTAGACCATGTAAACTAGAAACTTGTTAAAGAATACATCTTCTGAGTGAAATTTAAATACAGTGGTTTGAAAGCAAGTATCACCCAGCTGCTGCCTGTGCCCTTTTGTGGTGGGCTTTTCCCTGTGGGATTGTTGCCAAGGAGAGCCATTTCCCAGCGGCTCCAGCACTGGACTAGCAGTGTCCAGTCCTCTCTGGTTCTGAACCAAACCTCTGTCTTTGTAAACCCGTGAGGTTTGTCCCTAGGTCCCCTCTTTTCCCCAGTCTCTCTGTTCTTGCGAGTCTCTCGGCCTGTTTTAAGGCTGCAGGCATTCTTCTGTCCGTCTGTCTCTCTCTCTTCTCCAGTCCTGCTCCATCCTCAGTTTGTTCTCAAGAAGTTTTCGGTAGTGGGCTTTGTCTCCTGGCGCTTGGGGTGGGACCGGGTGCCGTGTCTCTCGGAGGGGTTTGCCTGCACGCAGCCAAGTGCAGCAGCCAGGAGAGCGCAAGCAGTCAGCCTTTCTGCTGCTGCCCAGCACTGCCCCTTTAACTGAATTTACTGTATGCAGTGAAAGCAAACTGTGAACAACCAACCAAATACATGGAGAGCAAAGTAAAAATTTGTTCCTTTATGCTCCAAATGCATTTTACCTTCCAAACAGTCTGACCCATCAAATATATTAACCTTTAGAATTGGAAAGATACTTCCTTCTAATTAATCTTTGCAGACAGTACTGTTTATTACAGACTTACATTTACAAGCTTATTCATATTCAAGTTCTGGTGCTAGCTAATGCTAAATAGGGTGGGAGCACAGAGGTTAACTGCAACTCAGCTTTTCTCCGAGCAGCTGGATGGGAAGATATTGAGAGAAGTCTGGAGACTGCAGGCTAACTGGGATGCTTAGCAGGGACCTAGAGAATTTTACAATGAGTAGTTGAGAAACAAAGAGGAATATAGCTTGGAAATGAAAATAACTTTATACCCAGTTACTGCAAGACTGAGGTAGTAGTCCAGAATATTTTTGTAGTTTGGCAGCAGGATAATACCAATACAGACTTTTTTTCCTGGTTGTGGGAATTATTGCTCCTTGCAATAAATCCTTTAGAGAGGAATTTATCTTACTTAAAAGGTTACTTTTAAAATTTCTCTCTCTCTATCTTTAGCAGTTCCTTTTAATGAAACACAAATACTTGTGTCACTCTTCTCGTCAATATTTAATGTGGATGGGCTGCTTGTTCAGTTAAGATTAGCTTTTTTTCTGTTGCAAATTCTTTCTGTTGGACCAGTAGGATAGCCAGTCTCAGGAAGAAGTGAGATGAGACCTGAGCAGTCCTGAAAGTCCACGTGCTGCTGAAAGGGGCAGAGGTTCCCTTCACTGGATGTGTGATTCTTTCTCCACCAACAGCAGCACCTCAAGGGAGCTCGCTAAATTTGTTGAGTTGAATTTGACTTTCTAATGCAACAAAAACCAGCCAGTGCTTTCTCGTTTTCTCATTGCGGTGTTAGTTTTCTTCCAGGCTAGTGAGCTGGCTCAGCTCACAAGCATCAGTGGGAATCATGCTGTAGACGCAAGTGAGAGGGGAGAGGTACGGGCAGGGGTGGGACCCTCCTCTTTTGGGAGCAGGGACCACTTCCATGAGCTCAAATCACCTTGAGCAAGTTCACCCAAAGTAGGTGGAATTCACTTCCTAGGATGATGTGCCAGAGTCTGGCTTTGGCAAGCTATGGGCCACAGCGAATAGTGTGGTTATTTACAATGGCCTTTAAATAACCTTCTCAGCAGGCCTACAATTTATTAATTTATACTAATTGACTCAGATTGAGACTATTTTATGGTAATTGGTTAATTGTTACAGCACCCAGATGCAACAGCAGTGAACACTGTATAAAAATGATGTGTGAGTCATTACTGATTCAGTGCCTGGCACCTCCTTGGCAAAATTTTACGTCAGTATTGTTGGGTTGGTTTGGGTTTTTAATAGTGCCACAACATTAGGTGGTTTTTCAAGAAAACTAAACCTAAGTATGTTTTTAAAATGAATGAATTATTATAAAAGCTCATGATGGACAGTAATGGACACTGTAATTGGATTAATCAAATAGAATAAGCCATGGCATGGCTGCTTCTACTATCACATTTCCTCTCAAGATCACCTGAGTTCCTATTAAACAGGTGAGAATTACATGTTAAATAGCTGAGAATTGTTCCCACATAGTCAAAAACATACGGTTGCTTTTCCAACCATTACAATAACTTAATCTCCCTTTAAGAGTAACGCTTGTTTAATATGACTTTTTTTTCCCCCCACTCTCTTTAGACTTGGTGGAGGCCCAGATGATGCAAAAGAAATCATGCGTCATAGTTTCTTTGCTGGAGTAAACTGGCAAGACGTGTATGATAAAAAGGTATGTCTTTATGTGGCATTGAATAATCTGGCTTCTGCAAGGATAATTGTAGGACTACTGCTCTCTGAAGTTAGTCATGTTTTTCTTTGCAACTTTTTGTGTTAATACTAATAATAATTTTTCTTTTATATGTAAATGTCCGAATCTTTTCCTTTCTTTTTGTCTTCCTGGGCCTTCAAGAGAAAAGTAGGTGTATGACTCGAGATTAAGTGATTGGAAGGGACTCATAGCAAAAATCTACTTTCTTATTGTTTGTGTTTAAGTAGATGTCTTTTTCAAACTTATTTTTAAAGAGATATCTCAGAAAATCAAAATAGCATTAAAACACTGAGCCAAAACAGCTTGTGGAGCAAGCAAGTACTGGGAATTCAATTGGAACAGTTTTCTCTAAACCCAGTCCTGTTCCTGTAATGATCAACACTTGGGGAAGATTTTAGAAAATGAATTTATCTTACTTAGTAGTGAAACTCAATTTGACTTAAGTTGTTTTATATACAGAAGCTGATTTTATCTCAGTACTTGTGTAAGAATTTACTTGTTGCTATAAACTCCTTCTATTTTGATAAAGTCTTTTTTTTCCCCAACTGTTTTACATTGTTAATCTGCCAGTTGAGCTGCGTAATTTAAAAAGCCAGATTTTTCACCTTTTTTTGCTTTGTTCAAATAAAAGGAAAATGGAAGACATACGAATGAGCAGAATATGTTTATGCTACAATGTCAATGATACAAACTGTTTTTTCAGTTGTTGTTGAACTGGAATTTTAAAAATGTGTGGTTGTTGGTGTGGTACTTCTCTGACAAATACCGGAATTGAAATAAGAGCCTGTATGTGATGATACAAAATATGGTACTCTGAAGTTACTTGATACAAGTGTGATTTTTTTTCCCCTGGCAGTACCACGAGGTTTCAAGAAACTCTAAAATAAATAATCAGAGCAAGTATATTAATCACGTTACTTTATGAGCTCGACCACTAGTTGGTGTCATGGTTTAACCCCAGCCGGCAGCTGAGCCCCACGCAGCCGCTCGCTCACTCGCCCTCAGTGGGATGGGGGAGGGAATTGGAAGGGAAAAAGTGAGAAAACTCGTGGGTTAAAGGCAGTTTAACAGGTAAAGCAAAAGCCACGCGCACAAGCAAAGCAAGACAAGGAATTCATTCCCCACTTCCCAGGGGCAGGCAGGGGTTCAGCCATCTCCAGGAAAGCAGGGCTCCATCGCGTGTAGCGGTGACTTGGGAAGACAAACGCCATCACTCGGAACGTCCCTCCCCTTCCTCCTTCTTCCCCCAGCGTTATATCCTGAGCATGACCTCATCTGGCATGGAATATCCCTTTGGCCAGTGAGGGTCAGCTGTCCCGGCTGTGTCCCCTCCCAACTCCTTGTGCACCCCCAGCCTGCTCACTGGTGGGGTGAGGTGAGAGGCAGCAAAGGCCTTGGCTCTGTGTAAGCACCCCTCAGCAGTAACGAAAACATCCCTGTGTTATATGAGCACTGTTTTCAGCACAAATCCACAACATAGCCCTGTACTTGCTACTATGAAGGAAATTAACTCTGTCCCAGCCAAAACCATATTTTGGTTATGTAAGGACATTGCAGAGAAGCATTTTGAGGATAAAATCTAAAAATACAAGTTGAGGACCTTTCTGGAGTTTAAAAAAAGATCACTAAAATCGATTGGATTGCAATGTGCTAGGAGTGGGTGAGAAGGAAAAAGCTGTTACATTACTCTTTCTCTGTTGAAAAAGATTTCTTAATTATTTCACATTAGAAATAGAGCACTCAATTCTACACTGTGTTCAACATCATATTTGGGTTTAAGCTAAAAGGGGGTAGATTTAGATTAGATATTAGGAAGAAATTCTTTACTGTGAGGGTGGTGAGGGACTGGAACAGGTTGCCCAGAGAAGTTGTAGATGCCCCCTCCCTGGCAGTGTTTAAGACCAGGTTGGATGAGGCTGTGGGCAACCTGGTCTAGTGGAGGGTGTCCCTGCCCATGGCAGGGGGGTTGGAACTAGAGGATCTTCATTTAGGGTCCCTCCAACCCAAACCATTCTATGATTCTATGATATTTAGTTAAGAAAATACAGATACTCTTAATTTTTAAGCAGGCACTTTGAGTTTTTCCAAATCAACATGGCAAATGTCTTTCAATCAAGATCTTATTCTGAGCTATTAAAATATAAGGAGGTATTTTGCAGGTATAAATATATATATATATACACACACACACATTCATATATTTTTAATAAATATATTAAAAATACCTAAGTATATAAATGGAAGTATTTTGCTGTTATACTTTTGGAGGTGGATATGGCTTATTGGTGTATTATAACTGGAGAAATTGTAGTCGCTCATTATTTACCCTGTCCACTGTTGCTTTGAGAAACTAAATTTGCCAGTAAAAAGTCAGTTGAATTTCCTCAGTTGAACAGTTAACTTCAAGGATCATAGGAGTTGCTTTTGTGCAGTATTGGCACACAATGTGTTCTTTATGGAAAAAGAACTCATGAAAATGATTTCTGACGGTATGTTTTTCTGTTTAATTAAAAAATAGTTTTGTTCCTATTACAAAGCCATTTGTCTGGTTGGTTAAAATATCCAGTTGTGCCTTCTGTGCACGCAGTCTTATCAGCTCTGAAGTATGCAGAGTGATGCTGTGCTCTGAAATCTAAACTTCAAACATAATAATAAGGTTAATGAACTTTCACTGGGTATGTTTATTAGAATGCTTATATGAATATTTTTGAGGTTTTGGTATTCCAGAATACCTCAGGAGGAACGGGTATCAAACAAATTTGATGTTCAAATAAATAGATTTATTCTATGTTCGCTGCTGTTGCTGTTTATTATTAGTAGTATAGTCTTCAGCAGTAGGGTCACTTGATGAAATGGATAGTTGATATAATTATTTGCATAATAAAAATATTTCACAGTGTTCTTGCCTGAGGTTTATGCACCATGAAACTGTAATTTTCTGGCTGCATTTCAGGACTGTTTCTGTTAGCAATGAAAGAACTGAAGTTCACGTTCAGAGTAGTGGAAACCAAAAAATCATGTGTGTTCCAAGTGGTTGCTGGGGGATAGTTTTGTACATGTGCATGCTATGCTCCTGTGCCACTAATTTTATCATTTTTACTAGAGATTAAGTACATCTCTGCCCTTACTAGGTAATCACTTTGCTGGTGTGAGTAGAGATGGAATTATATATCTGTAAACTTAGAGTATTTCATGCAACAACAATAGCTCTGTCAGGTCAAGCGGACCCAAATGGTCCAATGGAATTATTAGCTCTCTGATACTGCTAAGTAATTAAAATAATTTGGTACTACACAATGATAATAAAATGTTGTATGGCACACTGGAGCAGAGAAGGTCGTTGCCTTTAAATGAAAAATGTATAGTAGTTAGCATTTGTGATCAGATGTATTTATTTTTGGCAGAAAAGCCATGAGGGCATATGAAAGAGAGCAGCCTGTGCCAGGTTCTTCCTGTGATCATCTCAGCCCTGATGAGTTTTTATCTCTGTGCCTGAGTATGAGAAATTGAATAGTTTGGCAAACTCTGAAGACTTCAAAAGCCCATACACTTCTAAATAAAATATTTATTTTTAGCTAGAATCAGGAAGCCTTTTGAAATTTCTCTGTTACTCATTTAAGAATTGTTTTAGCATATTTTTATTCGGGTTGCAGAAATATTCTTAAGTTGTTGGATGTTCTGTCTAGGGTCTTTTACCAAACAGAAAACATACGGGCATTAATGTAAAGGTAGGAATTTGGGTATGTCTGCCGGCTTGCAGCTTGAAGCACTCAGGTAGTAGCCTCATGTCAAAGGAGTTCCAGACCTTTTAGCGAAGCCTGGGTTTCCTCCTGCCTGTAGTACGGATGTAAGAAGAGGAAAGAAACCGTATGGGAATTTGGGCTGAGATACATCTATCTCCTTCTGGTTTCTGATAATACCTCTGATTTGTTCCTGAGGCAAATCAGGGAGTTAGTACTGGGAAGGGAGCAGGGGCAAGTGGCAGGGATGGTTGAAGCTGAGGTGTCCGACTTC